CCTCAGATTGCGAGTCGCGCGCCTTATTCACCTGGCCATGCCGGGCCAACAGGTGTCACCTGATAACAATCCTAAAGTGTTCTAAAAACACCCAGTTCAATAAGATTGATTTTAAGGTAATAACATTAAGAAGAAGGCTTGTACAACTTCTAAAATAAATAAATGTTACAAATATTCACATTTTGTGTTACAAACAGATGGTTTAAATAAAAATCCTTACGTAAACGTCATCAAAGAAAGTCAGAAAATTTAAATGGGGTATCTCTGAACACGATTTGCCCCAAAATATATATATTTGTTAAGCTTTATGTAGTTTTGTGTAATAAACAACATTTTCTGGATATCTGGGTACACGATCATCTTTAAAAAGGTTTTTTACAAAATCCGGCGCCATATGAAATAGAAATGAAACAAAAAAATATAATCCAAGCAGTTGAAAGAACCTTTTACACACTGGATGTGTATTTTATTATTATTTTAATCTCTAATTTGATAAAGTTTATGTGGATTAAAACAACGTCATTTCCTTGCTTTCTGATTTTTCAGTTTTCTTGTTCAGAAGGTCTTCACGAAAGCAAGCCATTTTGTCTTTAGTTAGAAAAGTTACCTCAAGGGTGGTGTAGAAAAGCTAAATAAATAAATACAGTTTTAATACAAAATTTAAAATGGTATCTCCAGGTGTTTATAAAGAGTCAGCAGAATGACAACAATACAGACATCCAGACGGTAGAAAGTCTTAACGAGAAAACGAATGTTGGTATGTCCCCGCTCTCTGGATCAACTAGTAAATCTTGGCGTGAGAAGAAGAAAATGGTGGCTCTGCTACGTAAACAAGGATGCCAAGAGCAATAAAAAAGAAATCTTTCCTCTTCCTTATTACTTTCTCTACAGTTACAGTTAAAAGTTACATAATATTTCTCCTCGTGAAAAAGCCTTTTTTTTTCTTTCATTTTCTAGAAGTTTTTATCTTTAACTTACGGGTAGTAATACAATATAAACAAGAATTTTTGTTCCCAGAAACTTGAGATTTGTGTTGTTTCTAAGTGGAATTTTTGGGTCTTTATGTTTATCCATTATGTTTATTATGCTTTACATTATCTTCCCCTCGCTCATGCTTTGGTAACTGTATCTAGCACTCCTGTCTTTGTGACTATATTTGCTAGGATCTTTCTTAAAGAACCGTGTGAATGGTTTCAAGGTATTTTAATCCTGTTAACGGTTCTTGGTATTTCAGTGATCAGTAAGCTACCTCTTCTGTTTCAACTAAGTGAAAAAACCGAGGAAACGCTAACAAAAGAACGTATTTCTAGTGTTTCTTTGGCTTTGGGTTCCACCATTTTTCCTTATTAGTGTATGTTACAACACGTAAAGCTAAAAAAGTGCATCATTCGGTCATATTATCAAACTCTACGTGGATGTACAAGACTGTTAGTACATCAGGACATCTTTATTTTGCTAGGATCTTTCTTAATTTACACATAGGTTTTCTTTAATATGAAATGAAAATAACGTAAATTTATACTCATATTCTTTTCTAATGTTCTTATTGGTCACATTAACCGAGCCTTTAACTTTCTGTACTAGGGATTGGCCACATTAAGTTGTGTATATAACTTTCTGTTCTACCGATTGGCCGTCAAACCGATTTCATCAGTTTTGTGACCGCATGTAGTTGGGTGATAGAATAAACTTTGTAGTGTCTACAAATATATCAAGTAATGATAAAGGAAAAAGTTTTAACTGATAAAAGATAAATCACAGCTGTCCTAGTAGCATCAGTACCTTTACAAAAACACCGAATACACTAAGACACGTTGAATTTTAATACTGTAAATTGTGTTAGAATAAAAACAGAAAGTCAATTTTTATTTGAAAATTAATCATTGTCTTTAGTAATGACAGTGAAAATAAAAACAATTATGTTTTTTTTTTGTTTATCTAGCCTGTAGTCCTAGCAATAGAGATATCTTACTACAGCACAGACAGTCCATTGTGCAACTTTTAGCCTAACTACAAAAGAGACTTATTAAGATATTGTATTATACATCATTGATATCTAAAATGTTTGCAGCCTTAAAGTAAACGAATAGATTCGCTCATTACTATAATTAAAGGGTAATACGTACAATGGAATAATAAAAGTAAGGAATATACACATTATACACTGGTATGTATCAGATCAAATTTTGTTCTTTCATCTGGCCCCCCAGTG